GGGGGTTACCTTGGTTGGAGATTGGCTAATGGTTACACAAGCCAAAAAATCGTTATGACATCACAAAGTGGCCAAAATCTGATCAGCTCGTTTTCAGACAGGTTTTTATATAAATGGACCAGGAGGGGACACATGTTGATGTAGAAGAGACATGAAAAAGTGGATTTTGCATAATTGGTGACCTTTACTATATTTTTGGAACATTACATTTTCATCTAGCTCGACCATCAGGTCAACATTTGTTTAGAACCAAACAACTTCCCATTCACCTCTGCTGCCTAGTACTAATAAGCAACTATTAGCATGCTGTCTCTCTAAGGAAGAATGCAGCTAAAAATCAACACGTGGGCATTTTCATTGAGATCGTGTTGGCATGCTAAAGTTACCATCCGCTAATAGCCATGCCAAATTGCAGCCTAAAAAAACTGCTTGCATTTGCCGTAGCCTCTTAACGTTTCAGCGCGGTCAGCAAGTTTCACCCTTGTCCGCTTGGGAATTGTAATTGTCTCTTACCAGGTTGTTGCCAAATCTACTGCAACACATTGAAAGACTTCTGTAAAACAAAAAAAAGCAGGGAAAGTTGAAAGTGACAATATTTACTTTAAACCTTTAACAGTAGCTGTATGTCATGTTTTTGTAATCTCAAGTGTTTTGAAAGAAGTGTTAGGGGAGGGTTCATCATCATCAGGGAGGTGTGCACAGTCAGCATTCCCGCCATCTAGTCTTCTTCATCTGCAGCTCCAGTAAAGCAAAACATGTTCCTTTTTTTAAATAGGAAATGAGAACCTTTAAATATGAACCCTTGTGCATAGTTTGTACCCTCAAATGCTGAATGTGCATGCCATGTGGGCTGCTCGCTTTTCGCGTTTCCAATTCATTTTCATTTGTCTGCCCCGGGGCTTTTGGCAGGTTTTACTGGTTTTACACACAGTAATGCATTAAGTATAGTCCCAGTGACACTTGAGGAATGTAGAGAAGAGAGCAACGTGGCTAGGGTTATTTAAAAGGCCACATAGCTCATTTGTGATTCACTCAAAGTGCTCCTTTAAATCACAGTGCTAATTCTCTGCCTTTTCATCGCTTCAATATGTCTGCGGTACAGTGTTGACGCATGTATTAAAGCAATTTCCACAACAACTGCCCTCCAATGTAAGCTTTACAGTGAAGCAATATGCTGCAACGTGCTTTCATCAACTCTCCCCCCTCTGAGGGGATGTCTTCTGGGTTTGACAATCTAGTCTCCTTTCCTGAGACGAAGCGGTAGGTGAAGGTTGGGAGTGAGTGTGTGGGCGGAGGGAATATATCCTGCTGCTGCGCCAACCTGTGTGTGTGTGTGTGTGTGTGTGTGTGTGTGTGTGTGTGTGTGTGTGTGTGTGTGTGTGTGTGTGTGTGTGTGTGTGTGTGTGTGTGTGTGTGTGTGTGTCCACCCGCCCTGCCGTTATGTGTAAATCTTTGTTACCCTGCAGCGAAATTTAATATTACAAAGAAAACCCCCTGAAGTAGGCCCAAGAGTCTTTGTCTCACAGTCAGGAGATATGGAACACACACACACACACACACACAGCTATCCATAAACATGATCTGCTTGTTATTCCCGCCTCATCCTCCGTCTTTTTCTTTGCGTTTTTGTGTCAGCTGTGGCCTCTGATGTGCTTGGTCTACTGTTTGTGTGAGAAACAGCTGCCAAGGGACCCCTTCGTCTCTCTTCACACAACTCGTCTCCTCTTCCTCTTCCCTCCGCCAACAAGTTTCATGCTACTCTGAGTGAACCCAGCAGTTTTCCAACAATGTAAATGTTGGATTCGGCAGTGACATTTCCGTGGCATTTCAGCGCAGCTCTGTGGGGAAAAAGTTAGCTGTCAGGAAACTCACTTCAGCTATTAGAAGCTCAACCGTCAAGTGAACGCTTTAAATGTTGTCAGCCACATGGTGTATCATTATTATTTTAACAAGGATTTTAAGGGGGGACCTCCTTGGGTGTGTTCTGCTGAGAGACTTTAGACACTTAAAGCCTAATTGAAGTTTGCAAACACATAAAGACGTCTTTGAAAGTACACGGATGAAGGAGTCAGAGACGGGTTAGACAGCCGCAGACTTTGATCCTGGATAACTTGTCATGATCAAGCCCAGGGTGCCTGCTCCACTTCTCATTCCCTGTCTACACCATCTATTTTCAGCTTTTTGATTAGGATAGATGTACATGGTGTAGACAGAGAATCTAGAAAAGGAGCTTTTAAGTCTTGAGTGAAAGGAGCTTGTGCAGTGCAGGTGGATGTGTGCACCTCTCATTCTATTATCTGGAGTATTGATTGGTCTTTTCACCTCAGAGGTTTCTCGTAGGATATCCTGTTTCCTCTGTTACTAAAGTAGTCTTTGTGCTTGTGAGGGTCCATGAGTGAAACTTGCAGCCTCAATTAGTTTCCTGCTGACCTAAAGGGCTCAGGCTTTTCTCCGCTCTCAGTCTTTACATCTCCTTCACCACCACCCCAATGTTTTTCAATTATACATCTCAAACCGCTGCTTCGATCGATGCTTTTATATTAACCATGGATGAAATGACTGCTCGTGAAAGGGGTTGCTTGTAGGGGTGACCCACAGAGAGTAACCAGCTGACTCAGCAGCTCCCTTTAAGCATGTTAGCCTCTTTCAGCTTCTTGTTTTGATTTGACACACTGCAAAGTAGGGCTGCTCAATTCATTGTATTTTAATCGCTATAAAATTAAAATTAATTTGGCTTGCAACGATTATGAAAACAACATAATCTAAATAAAACGATTATTTATCTATTTTTATTATTATTTATTTAAAAAAATATATATATATTTCTTTTTATTGGTTTTTCAATTGAATTATACTTAAAGTTCAGGATAATCAGCTGTTAAAAACTTACTACACATTTTTTTCAATAAACTTATGTTTTCAAAGTAAATGGATAATTGTTTTTAATAATCATGATATCAATTATTGAGCCAAATAATCGAGATTATGATTTTTGCCATAACCGAGCAGCCCTACTGCAAAGGGAACTGTAGGGTTTACCGTTATTCAGCAGGCAGCTGTTTCAGGAGGAACAGCTAGTCTAGCTGGTAGCTATGTGGAGCATTTAGGAGAACAAACAAACACAACACATTATTTCACTAACATCATTATAATAAGGTGCATGATGTCTGGAGGATATACAGATAAACACAAATAGTTTGTTGTATAAAATCTATGAGGTGATAATATGTCGTTTTTCTAGTCGTGGTCAGAAAGACTATTACTTCATGTTTTGGATTAATTTAAAACAAATGAGAAGAAAGACAAATAAAAGATCTGTTAATACAGGTGTACATTTGTTGAAATGAGAAGGGAAAACCTGAGTAATAAAGACTATGAAAAACAATTATTGAATTAATGCAGGTACAATTTTTTTATTTAAAACAAATGAGAAAGAAAATCCTGATTTTAAAAATGAACGTATTATGGAAAACCTGAACCATTGAATGCTGATCAAATGTCAATTCAATAAATCAATAACTGAGGTTTAAATCTCAGAATCAGAATAAAACAAATCTAGTTATCAATCGGTTTGACCTTTATCCTTCTGTTCATGCTGCAGGTTTGGGAAAAACGAAGAGGAAGACGAGCGCCCGCGATGCTTCCCCGACGCCGAGCTCCGACACAGAGTCCCCCTCTAATGGCAGCGGGGGGGGCGGAGGAGGAGGAGGAAGGGGAGGAGGAAGAGGAGGAGGAGGAGGAGCGGCTGAACGCATCTACGACCTCAACGTCCCCGCCGTGGTGAAGTTCGCCTACACAGCGGAGCGAGAAGACGAGCTGACCCTGACGAAGGGCTCCATGGTGGTAGTGATGGAGAAGTGTAGTGACGGCTGGTGGAGGGGCGGCCAGGGGGGGCGCGTGGGCTGGTTCCCCTCCAACTACGTCCTGGAGGAGCTGGGGGGGGCGGACGACCGGGAGGAGGGAGACTTCTCAGAGGGGTACCAGGGGCGCGGGACTTTGTTGGCCAACGGGCAAGCTGGAGGAGGAGGCGGGGCCGCGGTTCTCCACCTGGTGCAAACTCTCTACCCCTTCAGCTCTGTGACGGAGGAGGAGCTGAACTTTGAGAAGGGCGAGGTGATGGAGGTGGTGGAGAAGCCTGAGAACGACCCCGAGTGGTGGAGGTGTCAGAACTCGCACGGCGTGGTGGGTTTGGTGCCTAAGAACTATGTGGTGGTGCTGGACGAGCGGCCCGAGCTGCCCCCCCCCCTCTCCAACTCCCCCATGAAGCGCTCCGTGGCCCCGGCCCACTCGGGAAGGTTCGCCGGGCGGGACTGGTACTACGGAGACATCACCCGGCACCAGGCGGAGAGCATCCTCAACGAGAGGGGGGAGGAGGGGGACTTCCTGGTACGAGACAGCGAGTCATCGGTGAGTCTGGGGGTGACGTCCTGGTGGAGTGGCATCATGGAGGCAGAACAAAAAGGCCTTTTTATACATTTAAGTGGAAGAGGAAGTTCAGTCGAAATATTTCTGCTTCACCGTCTCCAACTTAGAGTAAAATGGTTATTTATAAAAGGAGGAAGACTGTGACACATTTATCGAGAAACTCACACTTACAAGGAATAGTCTGAGTAGCTTTTAAGTGAGACAATTATTATTAGCATGTTATTTTAGTGCATTAGGAATCAGTCACCAAAATGACAGTTACATGTAGTTGATATCATTTGGTTAAAACCTTAAAATGACCATAAGCACCTAACATGTAAAATATACATTCATGTTTGAGGAAAACTGCTGGTTGATCGAAGACATTTAGAAAGGAGCAGTTTAGAATGTCGATTCACAATGACAATGCACATGAAGAAATTCAAATCAAAGTACACACATTTACAAGAAAGCCGCAGCAGCTCTTTATAATAAGAACTACCCTTTTTTTTTTTAATATACATGTTGGACAGATATCATCATGACTAGTGTTGAATTGTTGAGTCATTAAAGACATGTCTCAGAGGTGTGCAGTGTTGTAACTCACTTAAAAGACCTATAGGACTATCATGACTTGCCCCAAAATCCACTATTTAATTGACTTTCCTCTGAAGGTAGCTGCAGTCTCTCAATCCTCAAGAGCCTACTGTTTTGTTTTTCTGCCAACGAAGCACTTATTGTTTACATAACTCATGAGGAAAATAAAATAATGTGGGTGATGTGAGGGCAGAGGGGGATTTTCCAGTTCTGTTTTTATGTTGCCTAAACGGGAGGTTTATAACTCAACAGGAAACCTTTAAACGACTGCTGGAGCTCGTAATCTATATTGTTTTGTAATAAAAGTGTCCTTAAGAAGCTGTTATGTTAAGTTTTAGAGTAGGAGTAGCGTTTTAGAATGTTGCAGTTTGATAAATGTGGTCTCACAGTTTTCAGATGTGATAACACACTGCCCCCTGCTGGATTAAAGCAGTCGGTGTTCATTTTTCATTTCATTTAGTCTTCTTTCCCACACATGTCTGTCTCTTTTTTAACATCTGTGTATTAGATTAAGCTTCTTTTTTTTTCAACATAACACAATGTATCCTCTCTCATATTTCTAATCGCATCAACAACTGTCTCCCTCTTTTATTTCTTTCAGCCCAACGACTTCTCCGTGTCTCTGAAGGCGTCCGGTAAGAATAAGCACTTTAAGGTGCAGCAGACGGAGGGCGTGTTCTGTATCGGCCAGCGTAAGTTCGGCTCCATCGACGAGCTGGTGGAGCACTACAAGAAGGCCCCCATCTTCACCAGCGAGCACGGAGACAAGCTGTACCTGGTCAAAGCGCTGCTGTGATTCACACACCCTCACACCTACACTGGATCTCACTCACACACATGATACTAATGCCACCCCCTAACTGTCTTAACTCAAGCCTTAGCTCTGGTCCCTGTTCCAGTTTCATCTGTCGCCCCCTACTGGTGACCTTTATAGCTCTACAACGGAGCCTTTAACCTCACATCTGTCGGCAAAACACACCCTGATACATCCTCTAATTACGGCACAGTGCTTAATGAGCCTCTGTCCCCGGGATGTGAACTTGTGCAGCGACCACATCTGCTGCTAACCGAACGCCTGAGGCTTTGTTGGGGTCGAGCTCTCCAGCTGATGTCATACATAACGTCCATTTACTACCACGCACATCGTAGGTTACACCATTGCTCTTAATCCACACAGGAAGTCGAAACAGTTCACAGAGGAGTCTGGCGGACCTTATTGCTGGCCATTGTTTTATTTTTCTTGCTTTATTTTAAACCTCATTTTTCTTTTAAAGGTCATTGAAACTCCTCTGCAGAGGTTTGAACCACACAATGACTTCACAAAGTGACCAGAATCACTCTCTTGCCTTTTTCCTCCTAATTTTCATCTTTCCTCTACATGATTTATTTCCCCATTTGTGACTTTTGTTCAACTTCTGTCCCCACAAACCAAGTCATTATTAGTGATGTTGTTGAAAATCTGGATACAACTCTTCCTGTAATATTTGTAATGGCAGCGAGTGGTGCGTTAATCCAATAGGAGACCTCTGATTTCCTGTAGAGTTTGAATGTTTATCAATGTAACCAAATGTGCCACCCTGTACCCATAGAACTGGCTCCAGGTCTGCACTGCACTCACCGTTCATCCATAGCTCTGTGCTCATGCTTTATATCGTGTCACGGTGAACAAGGTCCTCCAGTATGCGTCTGTAGATACTGTAGGATACTGACTGAAGAATCATTAAGAAATAATAATCATTTTTAGGTAACACTTTTGAGTAACTACACTTGATCTGCTCCTGCAAACAGTTATAAAATAATATCTCTTTTTGTCTAAGGTAGGTACATTTTTGGGAATCTTGTGAATACAGAGAATTGTGAGGAAAATTGTCATTTACAAAAAAAACACTGATTGAAAGTGGTGATTGACCTTTATAATTAACAGATAAAGAAGGGATGGCCCTGAAATCTACACCTATGTATACGCACATACTCCAACAAAGGTCAGAAAAGTATTTGGAAATGATTACTTATTCATGTAAACGGTCCAACACCAAACTTGTAAGGCACAGCTCTTGACTGCATGTTAAGCCCCTCCCACAAGCAGCGGTTGTCCAATAACAGCTTAGCAGCCGTAACTCATTCTACGAGACACAGTTTGGAGGGAAACTATGTCTCAAACTAAAAGCATAAGGTGTTTTACTGCTATATTATGTTATCGTTAGCATGTCTTGCTAACTTACTACCATCTGTAGTAACTGAGGCTCCCATCTTTAAGTCCCTCCTCAGCTAGCTAAAGCTAATAATATGCCATAAATAGATCTGAATTAAGATGGCAGAATTATGGAAGCCTCCCGCCATTGTGATGAAAAAACATACCTTTATAATGAGAAACTTTCTTAAGATATTATCTTAGAGAAATTACTTATCTATTTTAAAATATAACTTAAAGGCTCAAAATAATTTAAAAACGATCTAGAATGATGAGAAAATGTCTTAAAATAATACCGTAGGATCTCAGAATAATTACAAATTATTTCAAAATGTTTGCTAAGCTAATTTTTCAGTTACTTAGTCAATCTTTTGAGGAATCTTGTAATTATGAAGAGTTTCAATCTTATTACTGCTGGAAAAAAATGTCTATACAAAATAAACCGTTACTAGCTAAAAAAGAAGACTGCTGCTTTTGTCTCCCTCTGGCTGAAATTAAGGACCTGGTATTTCAAAAACACTATATATTTTGAGCGCTAAAATAAGTATTTTCATGTGCTGCTCAGTGTCGGAACTTTGGCATAGCAACAGGAACTAAGGGGCGGGGCTTAACCCATAGTCAGTTTATAATGAGAGTAATTTTACCGTCAAGAAACCAAAAATACCGTCATCTGGTTTGTAAAGAAAATATATTCTAGTCCTACCAAACATTTTCCTCGTCGACCTTCTTTCTCTTTGTGCATTTGTTTACCAATGGAAGTGTTGTTGACCACGGGGTCCTCAGCTTTTATAAGATATATCTGAATGTTATTGAGCAATGTTATTTAATTCTTGTCTCCACTGTATGTATATATTCAAAAATAAGATGAGGTGCATATATGAATCGCTCAAGATCAAACTATGGTACTGTATCACCGACAACGTGATGAGAATTGAAATACTTTTGTTCAATAAATGTTTTGAAGAATACTAAAATGACAAGTGTTGACATGTGTGATTGGTTTTCCTCTTTTCTTTCCTGTTGGTTGTTGGTGTGTAGTTTGGTGAAAATATCATGTAAAAAGTCATAGTATAGCAAGTCAGAAATGTTTTTTAAAGTGACAGGCCTATACTTCATTTAAAGAAAAATTGTCATATATTAGTATTTTGAATAAAACTCACAGTATGTCAAAGAAAAAAGAAAGAAAAGCATATAGTAGTTATAGTATAGTATCTCAAATAAGTTATAGTTTAGTATCTCAAAGAAGTCATATAGTATGAAAAAGTTATTGGTAAAAATATGGAAAAAAGTCATAGTGCAAGTGTATGTAGAAAATGTGAAAAAGCTATATTTTATTTTCGTGAAAATAGTATGTTGTCATAGTAAAGTATGTTTGTAAGTATTATTAAGAAAATCGCAGTATAGTAAGTTTAAGAAACGATAATAACTAATATGAAAGTCTTCGGAGTCCCTAAACAAGAGTCATGAAAAACACAACAGAGAGACTTACCCGTTATCCGGACCTTTTTTCAATTGTATTTTTCATGTCCCTTTTAGGGGCTCCGTAAATGTAGAAAATCTAGGTTAAGTAATACAAATGCCATAGTATAGTTTGTGGAAAATATTACAAGATCGTTGTATAGTATATTAAATCAAATGAAAAAGTCATACTAGGCTATAATATGTCAAATAATATGAAAAAAGATCATGGTGGCATAGCATGTCATATATCTTTTGATTCAAATGTTCAGCTTTTCCTGTATAATAACTACCTTTAAGTATATTGTAGTTGACTTCATGTGGCCTAAACAAGATTTAGAATGAAAATGCTATGTATATATTCACACAATGCAATACACACTTAAAATATGTCATTCTTAGAAATGAATAATTTGACTTTTCAGCGACCTGAGACTCGCTGTGAGACCATCAGGGCTTTGCTGTGTTTTATATTGTAGTTCTTTAGTTAAAGTGATCTGAGACTAGTTTGTTAAACTGCACTCGGTCAGATATTTAACGCAGTTCTATTTCGTATATGGCTTCGCCCTCTAAGGCTATCGCTATTGGGTAATCCCCCTGCGCACCCACGCAGCACTGAAACACTTGTAGTCCACGCCCACCCACAAGGTGGTCCCCGCCCTCGGGCCTCCATCCGGTATAAATAGGAAATCGGCAATCTGCTCCCTCTTTTCTTCAGCAAACCTCGGCAGTTACTGAAGCACAGAACCATTAAACATGAGCAACAACTGCGTCCGAAATTGTCCCTCATGTGGCTCAGGATATATCATGAGCTATGACCAGCACGCAATGTGCGAATCCTGCCTGGGGCCAGAGCACGCGGACGCGGCTCTCAGCCAGCAGGTCGCTTGCTCACATTGTGCCCGTCTACCATCAGCCGACAGGAAGCGAAGAGCGGACGCTCTAGCTGCTGCGGCCGACGAGGACGATTGGCCCGTCCAGGAGCACGTGGACGGCAGCATGTCCCTGGAGCTGAGTGCCGGGCAGAAGTCGGACAACTCCTAGCCCGTCTCCCTCCATGGTTCACCGTGCGGTTCTCCCATCCCTCCTACCCCGGACGGGGGAGACGGAGTCGGAGCAGGGGGCTGGTTTGGCGGCCGAGCATGCGGTCCCCTTCTCCGTCGCCACAGGACGGCGCCCTACGTTGAGCTCCCCCAGAGAGTATGTCGCCCGCCAGGCCGACCGGGTGCACCAGTGTGCCTTTCAGGCGGCGGCGAATATCATCGCGCTGCTCTCCAACTCGGTGGTGACACTGGTAGAGCGGTCCACCACCGAGGCAGAGGAAATCAGAAAGGCGGCCAGCACGGCGCTCACTCTGTGCGCGTCCGTCGCTGTCTCCCAGGCAAGGATTTCCGCGTGGGTAACACAGATCCAGCGCCACCTACAGCAGCAGGCGTCTGTTACGGAGACGGCCAGAAAAGTGCTACTGGACGCTCCAATCAGCTCGTACGGGCTGTTAGGACCCCAGTTCCACGCCATGGTGGAGTCACCGAAAGAGACACTACGCGACACGACAGCATACTTGTTGGTGTGGTAGACGGGAGCGGCGGCGAAACCCGGAGACTCACGCTTTCCGACTTCACTTCGGAGTGGTCTCCGGCAACCCCTTTTGTACACGTTTACCCCCCACGACACCCTACTGTGGTCCTAAACCAAGACTGGTTACACGACGGGATATCCGTTCTTCAAAAAAAAATCTACCGTTCAACTTTTTGGGAGATGTGTTTTCTGGTTTGATGTGACCGTCCCTTTTCTCTTTTATTATAAACTGTACCACCTTGTCGAAATATATTGTTCCGAAAGTTTACATTAATATCTGATATTGTACAAAAATTAACCCCCACCTGAAGTGTAGGAGCTCCCCCAGGCCCCATGTGGGGCCCTTCTAAAAAAATTGCTAAAATTTCATTTTTAACGAGTTAAACACGTGAAACTCGCGGGTTAATTCTCTGACTAGATCCCCCATGTTGAGATTTGTGGGTATACTTTTTTCTAGCAAACGTAAAGATAATTAAGTTTATTCATCCGATACACTTGTAAAAGGTTATTGGATGGTATTCGGTTATTGTTATGTACATTGAAAATAAAATAAACACCAACAGGTAATTATAAATAAAATGGTCAATTGGTAAATAAATACATATAAAATTTTAGAGAGGGTACAATTTGGCTCAAAAACCAAATGACAGGGATATCAATATGTACTACTAAAGTTTGGACAAAAATAAATAGGATTATTAATATATTCCACCACGGAAACCTTTCTAAACAACGTTATTTAACACTAGTTTTGCAAACTCTGGTGAACTCTTTATTGGAATTCTGATTTCACTGTAGATTCGGAGTCTCAGGAAATGGAGTGAACTCGGGAGAGCCAGCTGTCCCTCTCCTGAGGGGAAGTGTTAATAAACCATCTTTGTCGAAGAAATATAGGCACAATGCGATTCTCGATTGTTCGTTAGGGGTAGCAATGCCGCCATAGAGGGGAGAGAGATAGGAGTTGAAAACCGACACTCGCCCCGAGACGATATCGAATGTAGTGAAGAGTAGTGAATAGTCCGGGTAGCCATGTCGCCGTTTACCTTTTACATGTGGGGCCCCTTTCCCACCAAAATAGGGAAGAATGAATTAAGTACTTACAACAAATGTAGGTCCGACTTTTTTAAGCACAAAAAAACCATAAATATAGAACACCTTCCACGTCTAGGGGACTGTATGTGTTCCCAAAGACGTCGTGGGAGTCGTGGGGATGAAAGTGCAGGACCGAGTCACGCAAAAGCTGAGGCTGACAGTAGTACTCCGCACATGTAGCGAGTCCCCTACTACTCCACACACGTCCAACGACAGTGTACTCCGCAATATTGGCGCGAGTACACCCATAAAAATACTGTGCACACCATCCTCCCGGCATAGAGCCTGCCTCCCTCTACGGCGCTCGAGACGTCCAATAATAATTGGCTATCATTTTGGTCGTCCGACAAGACGTTCCCCGGGGACGAAAGATGATTGATCTATTTAGTTTGTCTAATCACCGTCGGCCGAATTAATGGCCGAGACGAAGGAGCCTCCGAGAGTGCCTCGTCTGGGTCCTTCGGAGTGAGGGGAAACTGAGCGGCGGCCCTCTGGCGAGACAGGCGCCGGG